CAGTAACATTTGCTCCTCTTCTCTCCCCAGACAAGAGAGGTTTTTTTAATCACCCAGACCTGCTACAATTTCATTCATGAGATGAAGCAGGTGTCTACACATGGGATTGTCTCTCCCAAGCACTGTGAGGACAGACTGAACAGTATTCACAAACATGTATGAGCTTCAAAGCATCAGCAGCCTACACCATGGCTGGTGTCTGTACTTGCAGATCTACACTCCTGGGGGAGATCATTCTAAGTTACGCGACATCAGCTAAGTGAAAAATGTAGCTGAAGACAACGTACTTAGATCTGTTTACCATGGTGTCTTCACTGCAATGTGTCAACGAGAGATGCTCTCTTGTCAACTCCACCTGCACTTCTCATTGAGACAGAACACTGGAGTCAGCACTGGAGCGATCAGTGGTTGATTTATTACATACATAGTAGACTTGATAAATCAACCCCGCTGGATCAATTGCTACTTAATGATCTGGCTATAGACATACCCTCAGATTCATAGACTCTAGGCCAGAAGTGACTGTTGAATCATTAGGCTAACTTCCTGCATAACACAGACTGTGGAACTTCCCTGAATAATTCCTGTTTGACCTACAACATCTCTTTCAGGAAAAACATCCACTCTTGACTTAAAAACTGCCTGTGAAAGGGAATCCACCACAAACCTTGGTGAATTGTTGCAATGGTTAATGACCATTATCGTTAAAGAATTGTACTTCATTCCTAGTATGAACTTGTCTAACTTCAGCTTCCAGCCATTCATTTTTAGAACCCATTATTTGTTCCCCATGTAGATGCTTAAAAATAAACACAAATCCACACATGTTGTATTCAGTTTCAATGAAGTACACCATATCTGATAAATTGCTAAACCCCAGCAGGCAGTAATATGAACTTGGATTTAATTTTTAAACTGATCCATGATGGCTTTCACTTATACCTGTGCAGTGCTCTGGGGATTGACAGGTGTAAGTGAAAGAATAATTTAATCTTACTACAATTAGAATTTATTGTTGTAGTTTTGCAGTAGCTACAATACATCGCATGCCGTTGGTTAAATCACACATGTCAATCAGAGAAGAGCGTTAATTCCACACACATAACTAAAATGATAATAAGAACATTCTTCCTTTTAGCTATATTAAAAATTAATCCCCTTAAAAGGTGAAAGGGCACAGCTGTGGCTTACTGGAGGTCTGTTCCACTGAGCCTTGATATCACTGCTTATCAAAGTGATTTCTGTCATTATACTTCTTAGGTTTCACACAGTTGGACTACCCCACTTAGTAGACAACAAAAAAGAGACGTCTGAGTCTAAGCCACTGGGTGAGTTGGTGGATGAAGGGCACAGGCTCTCACCAGACTGGCCTGATTTTCACTCTGCCAATTCATAATTAAAAGCCAGCTGTTGCCCATGTTTGTTTATTAAGATAGCGATATAGCTAAATCCCTATAAATGTTATTCAACATAGCATAGAAGCCACGTATGCTTCAGAAATGTACACAGAGGTGAGGGACACTGCCTAGATCATGCAGGGTTAGGAGCATGTCATTAATTTAGTTTTGTTTATGTTTGTTTATTGTGCTAAGTATTCTCTGATGCGGGATACAGTCACATAATGAGCCCCGATGCTTCTATTCTATTCCCATCAATGGGAGCTACATGCACATATCAAAGGAACAGATTCTCTGACATCCAAAACAAGAGCTATTTGAGGAAACAACTGCCAACTGCTAAATGTAGGTGATAATATCCCCCTTGTTTGATAGCACCATCATAGAGAAAATGCCAAGTGATGCCCACGATAGTTCATAATCAGGTTTGTCTGATTCTAGTATCTCAATGTCTATAGCAGGCTCATTGCCTGTAGTTCTTGTACAATTTATACTCTTTGCTCTTAAATAAATCCTGAGGCTGACAGCCAATGGGGATGCACAAAATACATAGGAGGGCAGAATTTGTTCACTTACTGCTAATTCCAGCATAGTGCATGTTGAATGAACAAAACTGACTGGAAGCAAAATCTGTGCTTCAGAGCTTTTTTTTTTTCAAATTCTATGAAGGAAGTTTCCTGGGAACACATCCCTCACTCATACATCTACCACGTTTAACGTTCCTTTGCTGTGATGCCTACAAAAATCTGTTTCTAGGCACTTTGGTGATACAAATAATAAATAACAACAATAATAGACCATTGGTGTGTTTATACCGCAGGCTATCAGGCTGTCCAATTTTGTCTCATTGTTTCCTTGCACTGTCTTGTCTGTACCCATCTGTTTTACTCTCGTCTTAGAATAAACTCTTTGGGTGAGAGAGAGACCATCTTTTTGTTCTGTGTTTGTACAGCACTTATCAGGATGAGGTCCTGTTTCTTGTCCATGATAATAAGGGCAGTACATGCCATCCACTGTACACCCAGAGGAAGACTTAAGGCTAAATGAACGAAGGACTATTTCAAGCAAGTTACTGTATTTTTTTTGTTGACAGACATGTAAGATTTTACTCTAACTGATCAATTCACCTAGCCTCTTCATTTGCAGACACAGGAATTCTTAATACAAGAGCCATTGCCATAACACACACAAACTACTGCTAGAGCTCAAGATGAATGCACTGATATATTTGAGCAGTCTGGCTGATGGAGTAGCTGGTCAACTCCAAAAGCAGTCCATGGACAGTCTTTGCTGGTCAGAAGGATATGAGGTCTTGAGAAAGGCACTAAAGAATGAACCTTGGGATACCTTCTGACCATTATCAAAACTTACCCCACCCTCAAGAAAATAACTAAATGAGTGTAGAGGAACTTTAGCATCATTTGGAAATAATAAGAAGGCCAAGAGGGTATTTTGGACCCACCCAGCACTATGTCACACATGAATAAGTACATTACATAATATACTATAGCTCTGGGTTCTCAGATTTCTTGGAGGAGGGAGTAACAATCTTGCTGGAACTTTGCTGGGAAGTGAATTTCCTCATTCCCTCTGTGGCTTGGAACACCAGAGTAGAGATGCTCTTAGACTTTGCTAGGGAAAAAAAGCATGCTGGAGTACAACTTGTTTTCCCCATATTAAAAGCTCACTAGCCAGAAGAGCAGACCTAATGGAGCCCACTCCAGATGCAGAACTGGAATATGAGGTCTGGACACCAACACAGCCTGTATCATTTGTGGCATTTTCAGAAAAGGACACTTTAATTTGATTTGGTTAACAATGAACCACATTTTTTCTGAAACTACTCAGAGTTTGTGCTGTCCCTGTAGGGCACCAGGAAGTGCTGTGTAGTTATCACAACCTTGCACAGTCTGACATTTTATTTTCCTGAATAGGCTGGAGTTCTGCAATCTGTTATTAGTTTACTTTATTGGATTAGCCGTGAAAACACAGATTTCTCCCTCCTTTTTGGCAGAGCCACAAGAAACCAAAACCAAAGTCATATAATCCAAAGAAAGTCTGGAATATATTTTACTGATTAGCTCCTTAAATGATTCCTAAAAAGTTCTCCTGTTCAGTGATAGATCCCTTGATGCGCTTTTTCTACTAACAAATATTCAGAGACCTCATATTCAGCAACGTCTAGCTGTCATTGTATTTGTGACCTTCTCTTTTTGTTTTGCGTACGTACTTATCCAAAAAGCAAGGAGTGTCAGTGAATACTCACAGCTTTTGCAAAGACCCCCATAAGCTCTGGGAACTGATGTGTCAGGAGGGCTAGCATAGCTGTGAAGGAACATAATCCCGCCGTGAAGAGTATAAAGAAAGGAAGCTCTTTCTTGGGATAAACTGAAACTTCATGAAATGCTGCAGAAGAAATCAGAAAAGAAACACATGGTGTAGGTGAAAGACCTTCTCATGAGGGTTAAGTAGTTACAGAGAAGCTACAAAGGGTCTGAGCCCTGGGTCAGCAGAAAGACACATGTACAGG